CCTTATTAAAAATATATCAATATCTACATATAGATATATATTTTAATATTATATATATGTATATATATACATATATATATAAAATTGTTTATTTAAATTTATACACACATTCTCTATGCATGTTAAATTGCAATATGTACACATGCACACATACATTTTATGTGATATATAGTTTTTATATATCATATTATATATATATATATATATATATATATATATATATATATCTAAATATTTAAATTAAAAATTCTGTCTATATTTTGATATATATCTCTAGTACAGTGTACTATATATTATACATACACACATACACACCATACTTATATATACAAAAATACAATAATTGCACTATATTATAAAAATTATTCTCAATTATACATACATATTATTGTGTGTACATCAATGTGTTAAGTTATATATGCATATATATAAAAATATATAGTGATATATATTGATATATATGAATAAAATATATATATGCATACGTAATAATTATATATATATATATATATATATATAATTATGTATATTATTAAAAAAAAAAATAAATAAATAAGTAAAATAAAATTTTAGTCTGCCAAGAAATGCAAAAAAAAAAAACAAAAAAAAATTTTTAGTTGAACATATACACAAAAAGTTACATAGGTATATATAAATATGTATATATGTGAATATATATATGTACATCTGTGTATTATACTTGTATAATGAAAATCACAAGGAAGAGGAGAAAAATAATAAAAAAAAAGTATATAAAATATAATAAAGATCATGCGCAATAAAATTTTGACTAAAAACAAAAAACAACCAAAAAAAAAAACTGTTTTGAAATTTTTCCAAGAAAAACTCTTACAATTTTCCTTTAATTTTTTTCTCTGTACTCTAAAAAAATATTGTAAATTTTTTATATATAAAAAATTATGCACAAACATACATTTGTAAGTATATAAACATATATATATTTTTGAAATTCAGGATATAATTTTGCTTGAATTTTATTTTTGTGTTTTGTTTTGCTATTTTGTTTTTTTTTTTTTTTTGTGCAGTTTCTTCCTTTATTTTCTTTTATTAGGTTTTTCTGTGTGTTCCTCTTTTTTTCTGTATTTCTTGTTTGTTTTTTTTTTTGGTGACGGTGGAAATAAAATCAATTTCTCATACATATTTTTCTAATTCATTTGAAAAGTGTATGTAGACATAAACATAAAATTAGTAAAAAAAAAAAAAAAAGAACAACAACAGCAAATAATAATAATCATAAAGGTCCTCATTTCATTTTCTTCAATTTTTGATTATTTTTTTTTTGTTTATTCAAACTATTTGTGAAGCTTAATCTACATCTAAATTATTATTGTGCCAAAAATTCCGACATTTTCCTTTTGTTAATATTATGTTTGCCTTTAATTCTTGTTTTTTTCTAATGATTTTTTTTTTTTTGTGTTACAAAACTAAAGCAGAATAAAATAACATTTTTGGTATATATGCACCATTTATATATATATATATATATATATATACATATAACACAAAAAATATAATTTTTAAAAAGTAGACGGAATAAAAGAAAAATACACAAAAAACAAAAAATGGAAAGAAAAAGGACAAAGAGGAAAGAAAAAGGAACAGAAATAATAAACGAAGGACTTTAGAAGACAAGTTCTTCTTTTGAAATTATCAGGATATGAAAAAAAAATTATAGTCTTCGGTTTTTTTTTTCCTATTTTTTCTGATTTTTTGTTTGTAATTTGTTTTTTTTTTTTGCTAAATAAGATACAAAATATTTTCTTAATATTTTTTTTTATTATTTTTCCTGTTTCTATAATTGTTTTTTATTTTGTTATTTTGTTTTATATTTTACTTTTTTTTTTCTTTAAAGTTGCATTTCAACTAATCCGAACTGACGCAGGAAATTAAATAGAGTAAAAATGATTTGATATATTACGAAGTGAAATTTTTTTATTTTTTATTTCTTCTGTCGTAATTAAAATGTATATGTGAATCATTTATATATATATATATATATATATATATATATATATATAAACACAGATGAATATATTTAGATATGGTATCGAGAAATAAATATTATTCCAAATGCATAATATTATCGTCATTCTAAAATTTCTCGGTTTCATAATTTTTTCTTAATGAACTATTCCGGAATATGCAATTTTTATATATATTCTAAAGAAATATGCAGCAACCCAAAAATATTGTGGAGCAGTAAGGAATAGTTTACATATGGAATATGATTTGCCGTAGAGCAAAAATTCACTTATATATAAATTCAAATTTAAAGATTTTACAAGTATTTTTTCTATAAAAATATGAAGCCTTCTATCGGAGTAAATGTGAAATAGATATAAAAGAAGTAAATAATTATTTTCTTCAACTATATTCCTCTATATTATTAAGCTGGAGTATAGTTGAAGTTTTTATTCACCATTTTCTCGATTAGATTATTTTATGCCCCTAAAAGTATTTGCTAAAATTTTATTCTAGTAAATATTGTTAAAAGATTTTTGACAATTTTGAAATGTTTATAATGAATCTTCACAATTTTATTCAATAAAAAATTTAAAATAATTTTTTTTTTTTAAATTAAACTTGGAATCGTAATTTTCAAAATAATCATTCTCAGAAAAGCGACAATAATCGATCAGAAATTTTCAGGAAAAAACTTAATTTAATTTTTATTGCATATTTATATATATATATATATATATATATATATATATACATCGGTACATATAGTCAAACTATAAAAACTAAATTTAAGAATTAATTTTATAAAAATATTTTTTCTTATTTTCTATTTCAGATTCCAATAAATGAAATGATCATGTGAAACAGAAACAGTAGCAAAAAATGTAGAAATAAAACCAAGGAAGATTAAAACATAGAATTGAAATGAATAATTTTCATTTCTTAATTATTTAAAATTTAATTGAATGGTGCGACCGGATGACAGTCCTCCAGCGATCGAATTTTAAACTGGTCGGTGGGACTTTCGTCCGTTTGTAACAACAATTCTCAACAGTTAAATGAATTATAAACAAATATTATACGGTTCAAAAAAATTAAGCTTATTGAATTAAACTTATTATAATACTAAAATAAAATAATTCTAATATTGTAAATATATTTTTATATTTAATGTAAATATATTATAATCTAATAAATTTTAAACATTTTAATAATATGTGCAGTTTTCATGTTATACAAAATTTCTATAAATATTTTTTTCTCAAAAATTTTCAATGTAAAATTCTCATCTTAATTTGAATAATATATGACATACTTTTAGGGGACTGTCATTGTACTTTTATAAAAGAATAAGATTTTGAGCCATTATAAAGTAATTTTTAATATATTAGCGTTTGAATTTATGTAAATATATAAAAGATTGATTTTCTTTAATAAATTGTTTTATGTATACATATATAATGGAATTTTTATTACTTAAATGCGTATACATAAATATTTATTATCACAGATAAGTTGCTTTCAAATATAATTTATTAATCAGAATTTTAAGTTGTATTTTATTAAAATTTTTAAGAAATAATTACAATATTCCATATATTTATGAATCAATTTATTAATAAAGTAACAATAATTTTATTATAACTTTCCACAGAACTCCACATATTGAATCTTCATGAAAACTTCAAAGTTTCAGCAAATTACTCCTGAAAGATCAACTTCACATTTTATCATTAACCAGCTAATACTACACCTCATCTCATTTCCACCAACAGCAATATTCATACTATTCTAACAACTGAAATTATTACCAAAACAATTATTTATCTGAACGAGTTTTGTTAAAGAGTTACGTAAGAGAGAAAATTTAACATCAATACTCGTATTTGCTGGTGCATTTCAAAACTTTTAAAAGTTTTTGTTATGTACCAACATACATATATATACTATATAAGCTTTCAGATGCATGGAATGGAATATATATAAATTATAAAACAAAGAATAATAATTCAGAAAATAAATTAGATATGCATGAATTAATACCTAAATGGAAATACTTTCCAAATATAATTCTACTTTGGTAATAAATTTCAAAGAAAACCAAAAGTGAAAAAAAAAATAATCTTACAATATTTTTTTTTTTTTGTCTTTTCGATTATTGAAGTTTTTAATCTATATTTGTTTAAATATGAAAAAGAATAATTTCTTATTAGTTTTAATAAAATAAAAATTAAAAAAGAAAAATAAGAATGTACACAAAATTCAATTGAAACAATTATAATTTTCGAACTTAAAGAGGAACAAAAAAAAAGCAAGTGCCTAAAAATTAATGAAGTTATAAAACCAATAAATTTTTATCGAATGAACAATGCTTATCCCAAAAACAAGACAAAAAAAAAATAAAAACATTTCGAACAGGCCCATTCAAATTTAATTGAAATTATTTAAAAAACAATCAAGAAAATTATTTTTTTGTTCCTTTTATAAAAAACCATACAAAAAAAAAATGAAAAAGAAAAGTTTAAAAAAATTTTTTTTTTTAATACAAAATAGACATGTACAGATAAGGATAAAAAATATAAGGATAATAAAAATTGAAAATTGTTCATACATTGTTTTATTTCTTCTTCTTTCATTCTTCTTGTTTCCTTTTATTTTTTCAGAGTTCAATAAACTTTCCGCGCTGCATTTTCATGACCGGGTAATCAGAGAAAATTTTACATATACATAAGTGAGAAGTGTACACAGAATATATTAAGATCCTTTATACGTTGCTGTGGAAATTACATTTGAACATGGATTATTTGGTAGATTATCGACCATGCACCGGAATGAAAAAGACTTATTTTTTTCTTTTTTGAATTGTTTCTTTTAATGATGTCAAAAAAAAAAAAAAAGAAATTGATTTATCAAAAAAGAAATTCAAGTTTTTTCGGAAAGATAAATAAATAATTATAATATGAAAAAAAATTTAATAATTAAGGTTTTATTAACTGAATACACAAATAAAATGTGTGAATTGAGTACCAATTAAATTTTTCATTCAAATTTACCTACATATAATTTAAAGATGTCCAAATTTTGTGTGCCGTACTGGTAGATTTAAAATTGTATGTGGTTTTCTTCATTGAAACTTTTGTTTCTTTTATTTCTTTTGTTTGTTTTTTTTGTTTTCAATTTCGTGTTCTTATACAAATGTATAAATAGTCCTATCCAAGTTAACAATGCAGCTACCGCATTCATTAAAAATTCAAGAAAATTTCATTCAATCAAATTGTTTGAATTATAAACCTTTTGTTTCAAAATTAATTTACATACATTATATTTATCGGGTTTCTACTGACAAAATAAAATTTATTTTCTACTGACACTGAAACTTTTTATTTTCCTGTTTTAAATCATAATTTTCAGTTCTCAATATTTGACATCTACACTCTACATTATTGATTAACGTAATAATGCAAGTGAATTCGAGATGAAACCAAATTATTATCTTGTATGAATCAAGTGAATACTGAGTTTTTTTCAAATCCCTTTATAACATAAGAAAAACCCTAATTAAAATGAAGAAAAAGCTAAAGGTACTATAAAATAGTTTTTTTTTTCAACGATATTTTGTAACTATTTTGGGTTTTTCTAATAAAGAAAGATTTTGGCAATCAACTTTATATTAAAAATATTAAATGGAATAATAAAGCAAGTTGAAAATTTATGCATGTACTTGCTTATGACATTGAGCCTGTATTGTGAATTGGCTTTCAAAATATATTTTTTCTTATTTTCCATTTTGATCTTTACTTCTTATTTAGTGCACGAATTTTAAATTTATTGGAAAAAGTAAATACATGCTTGCTTTTATGCATATAGATATACATAGATACTAACAACTTTTCCAATAGAAAAGCCCATTTATTACTCATTATATCATTTTCTTTAAAAACCTGTGCGAAATTAAATCGTTTTTTAAATTTTTTTTAATAGTTAATTTATCAAAACATTGCAATTTTTGTTTAATTACAAAATAATCTTAAAATTTTTACTAAAGAAACTAGTGATAACCACTTATTTTTTAAACCAAATCTTTTGAGAACACCAAATGTGCTATATTAAAACAATGAAATTTATAAAAAAAAGTATTCTATCCAAATTTGTTAACTATCAACCATTTTAAAAATATATCAACTTTTTGTTTGGTAGATTAAGATACAATTAAAATATGATTAAAAATAAAAAGTAAATTACTGAAAAAACATTATGCAGTTTAATATCGTTTTCTTAAATTATAAACGTTCGTAAATATTAAATTTTCTCTAATAATAGAACGAAAGGAACTTCTTAAACATAATATGTATAAAGTGTCTTGAGAAATTCTTTAAGTAAAATTAAATTTTATACATCTAAAATTTTAACAAAAATAAATACATACACATATATATGTAATTTAGAATATTGTTTAGTGAAAATAAATTAACATTTTTCAATTTTATATTTTTGATGATTTTATTTTTAAAATTAAATATTTTTGTCTACTGATTTATTAAATAAAGAATTTATCTTTAAAATTATGGTGGTCCACCACGATTAATATAATCAATTTCAACAGGATCCAACGGTCTTCTTCTATATCTAGCAGGCAATTGCCAATCCTCTATTGCTGGTGCGGTAGACTAAAAATAATAAATAATAAAATTATGAAATGATAAAAACAACCAATTTTCAACAACTTTTAAACAAATTTAGCATGAACAAACAATTCGAATCGTATTCAAGTTTTAATTTCAAAAAATATTAAAGCTTTTAATTTAAAATTTCTGATTATTTTAGTTTAAACTTCAGAAAATAGTTAAGTACATTGCTATATTCATACTTATTTTCGGTTATCAATGGACCAATTATCAGGTGAACTTTGGTGTATTCAAAATATTATGGCAAACCGAAAATTAAGTTTATTTTTGTTTTGTTTTTTTTTAACATTTTGACAACTAACCTAAGTTTGTGTTAGCAAAATTATGTAATAATAAATTAAGCAAATATTTTTATGTGGAATATAACTTGAATGTACAATTGTTTTTTTTTTGTTAGCAGAATAGTATCCCTAATAGATCAAACTATTTGTAATTCTATCCTGTAACCGTATTAATATTACATGCAGCAAATATTATTAAATTCAACTTTCTTAACAACAGAATAAATTGAAAAATGTATAGTCCAAAACTCACAACTTTATGCCCCGAAGACATTCCTCCTGAAGCGGTTGCTGTTGCTGCTGAAGATTGAGAAGTACCAGAAGCAATTAATCCACCTTTTCTAAATTTAATTAGGGGGATTCTTTTGGTCGCTAACTGGTATAATGTTTTGAAAACCATTGTTCGCTAAAATGATAAAACATTAAATATTAATTGTGACAAAATTTTATGAAAATGCTAATTATTGTATTATTCTTTTACAAACCAATTTTCTTTCTAAACTTACAAAAATTTTCTGTAGTCAATTCTATCTAATCCATTGATGATTAAATCATAACATCAGAGTATTTGAAGTATCAACGCAACGTCAAGATGAATAAAAGATGTAAGTAATATCGAAAGAATCGATTATTTTAATTTTTTAAATTGTACGAATAATTTAGTTTTAAATATATTATTTAATCAAAACCAGTATTATCAAAACATCATTAGTGTTCCAATCTCACATAATTTATAAAAAAAAATTGCGTACCTTTAGATTAAAGAGGTATTATTGATGCTCCAAAATTCTTGTTATGCACGAATTTTCGATTCTTGTAGTACCAGTTTTCACCATCGATTCTAATCGTTCCATGCGTTTCATCAATGTTTTGACATTAAAAATTCTAAAAAACTTTATTTTGAAGTGATTGTCAATCTAAATTGTAAACAAAAATAAATTTAATTTCAATTTTTATAATTATTTCAAATATTAAAAAATTTAGGCTATAATGGATGAACCTGATGCCACCGAAGAAGTTGAAGTCGAAGAAACCCCATCAGAAAAAACCGAACGTAAAGTTGTAAGAAATGCAATCGATTTACAACGAATTAAATTGGAGAAATTAATGAAAAATCCTGTAAGTGTTGTAATAGAAATTTGTTGCAAAACAATAGTACTACAATATTCTTACCACATTTTAGGAAAAGCCTATTATTATTCCAGAAACCCCTAAAGAAAAAGATTTTGTATACTCTGTTCCAACATTTGTTCGTAATGTAATGGGTTCATCAGCTGGAGCGGGGTCCGGTGAATTTCATGTTTACAGAAATTTACGTCGAAAAGAATATGCTAGGCAAAAGATGATTGAAGTAAAAGGTTATAAAGAATCACTAGATCAACAGTATAGGGATAAAATTGAAAAAAATCGTTTAGAAGCAGAAGCTAAAACTGCAAAGAAAAGGGCTAAGCGGTTAAAAAGGAAAGAAAAACAGAAAATGAATAAAAAAATTAAAAAAAGCTTAGACCCGATTCAAGATGACATAGACGAACACAGTGATGAATCCGAGAACAGTAATGATGAGAATGAGCAAAAAGAAAATGACAATAATACCGATAAAATTTCAAATGAAGATGAAAAATTGGAGTGTTTAAAGACAGAAAAAGAAACTATAAATTTAGACGATAATTTAAGTTCAATTCGTGGAAAAGAAACTAAAAAAGTTGAAGAAAAAATAGAATTGGAAAATCAAAGTGAAATTGGTTCTAAAGTTAATTCCAAGTCCCAGCAAAAAGATGCAGTGATAATTAAAGAAAAACAAATCGAAACAAGTGTATCAAAGGAAAATACTTTAGATAAATTACCTGAACGCAAAACGAAGCCTGAAGAAGAAAGAGAAATCCAATCTGATGAAATTTTAGAAAAGGTCGAAAGTCAATCAACTAAAAATTGTGAAAATCTTGACATGATAAAAAATGGATCTGAAACTGAGTCAGCAGCAAAAACTGAAGAATTTGCAAGCTAAAACGTTTTCAAATCTTTTCATTTATAAATTTTGAATGGAGAATAAAAACTAAAGTAAAATAATTTGTAATTTATGAGTTTTATTTATTTTTGATATTTTGAAATTTAATCTGTGTTGTTATGTAATATGAGTAGTATTTGTATTAATTTTATTTTCTTTTCTTGCATTTATTTCGTCCTTTTCTTCTTCTACCAGCTGGTTTGGGTGGACTTCCATTCTTCTTTGCTGGCCGACCAATGCGGCTAGCATTTTGTCCTGACATCTTTTTACTAGGAAGTAAATGTTGTGCTACTAAATCTCCTAACAATCCTTGATGGGCTAGCATTGAGAGGAAAGTACAAATAAATTCATCATAGTTGTGTGTTCGTCGATTATCATCAACTTTGAACATGTATCGCTTATCGTTCTCATCATTTAGATGCTGTTCGTTTACTGAAATTTCAGAATCCAAATTCTTTAATAAATTTTGTAGATCACGAACAGTAAACGCATTTGATTCTAAAAGTGATGTTGGTGAAGGGCTCCTATTACCTTCTTGTCTCATATCATCAGTATCAGTCTAAAATTAAAATATTTATTAAAATATCAAAAATTCATTTATGTATAAAATACATTATTGGATTTTCCTTCCTTAACTGCTTCACTTAATTTCTCAGACGCTTTTAAAAGTTTCTGTAAGGTGGCCGATATTATTTGCTTATTTGTACGTAACATTTTTAATTTGTGAGTTAACGCTATTCTGCGATCAGACACAACGGCCATTAAATTAAATCTAATGTCTTGCTCACCGGTAGAAATACCTAAACGATCAGTTATTACTCGTCTAAATTTATCAGTCCAATCTTCATTTGTATCCCAGGGACCATGATCCATAGGAAATGGTTTTAAACCATCTAATTCAAATAAGTGATCTTCTATGGGTACAAAGCTAACAAAATGAAATGCTTCTCCAGTAAAACGTCCCGTACTTATACCACTACTCTTGTCTTGACGTCTACGCGCTTGCATTTTTGTTGCATGTGAATTATGTGCACAAGCTAATTCTGGAGTGTTTCCAATTGCCCATCCTTTATTTTCGGGACACATTCCTTTTGTATGAACTTTAAGACGTTGAAGAGTATCACCCAAATGTAAATCAGCGCAATTTAAAAGAACCGAAAGAAGTGCATGTGTTGCACATGAATTTGGTACTACTTGTTGGGCAAAAAATATATTGTTAATAGCCTCTTCATCTTTAACATAAATTTCAGTAGTTTCAACAATTTTCCTTCTGGCACGCCTTTCCTCTATCCACCGGAACAAAAATATAAAACCATAAACAGGTCCTTCAATTGATTTTTGTAAATCATAAACTTCTTCAACTTGAACACCTTAAATTTAATTAAAGATTTTGATGAAAAAATAAAATTATTCATTAGGGTTTTTTTTTTTCATCTCACCTTTTACACCAAAATCTTCTAAAAGCAATGTAAATAGTCCAGGATCACTCTCTAATTCAAGCCAACCATCAGTTAAACGATTTATATCAACTGGCATTTTTCAAATTTATTACTTAATTTATAATAATACACATTGAATATTAATATGAAAATAATTTAGAATCTAGTAATATTTATTATTCATTTTAATTTTTTTTTATTAAAAAATCAAATAAAAAGACAATTCATTTTCAATTTCCAAACATCAACATTAGAAAATTTGACAATTAATTTTATATGATTGTCAAAATTATTTCGATATAATTCAGCGCCATCTAATATTTATCGTTTGTAATGATTAAGTTAAAATAATTAGAACTATTTTTTTTAGCAGAGACGAGAACAGTTTTTAATGAAATGTATATTTAATTATTTTTATTTAAAAAGCACACTCTAGTTTAAAATAGTAAAAGTTTTTTTTGTTTTATTTTACATATTTCACTCAAAATTATTTTTGTTTCGTACATTTGTTTTTGATTTTAAATTTTAAAAATGTTATACTAGTTTGTTTGAATATATTTTTAATTTTTTATTGATAATTAAAATTAAAATTAAAAGATTCTACCAAAATTTATAATTTGTATTTTAAAAATTTAAATCCTTTTTTAGATTTTTTCTTTTTGAGTTTATGATTAATTTTTCATCATAATCGTTGCATGACATTTTGGAGTTAAGTACTTAATTTTCACAATAATAAAACACATAAATCGTAACACAGACAACAAACATTTAATCCTTCGTTATTACTCCAATATCAAATTAGTACTTTCCCCAAGATTCAAGAAGTTCTTCTCATTCTAAGTGCAACGTTTGAAATAAATAAAATTTTTATATTTGTAAATAATACCGATAATTTGATAGGGGGCTCATTTCAACAGAAATTAAGCCAGTTTTCTCCATATATATATAAGAAAATCTAATTAAATTTTAATTTTTTCATAAATATATATATATATATAAACATACATATATTTCAATTATAAAATAACGTATTAGAGCTAAGGATTTTTCAAACGTGTTAGAATTGAAATTTTTTTTTTATTTTCCTTTTTTCCCCCCCTATACGAGTATATAAGAAATTTAACAATTTTCTAGTCTTATATGTGCGTAAGAATGTATATGTACTTAAATTCTTATATAATAATTAATATACGAATGCACTTTAAAATTTTTTTTTATTCTTTTATATTGCAACAAGTTTTAGTAGTCTACTGCATTTATTTTGTATAAAAGATTTACAAGAAAAAAACAATAATAAAGCAAGAATATCCAACAGAGTGAAATTATTAATTTGAGTTGTTATAAAAGTTCATTACGAATTTTTTGTAATGATTCTTTGATCACTGAGATAACCTATCAATCCAATCAATTTAGACCTACTGCTTTTAATAGGTTTCTTGTATTTTTTTTCTTTTCTTTTTTATTCTTAAGGAAGAAGGCCTGATATTTCATTATTTTGTTGTTGCTGTTGTTGTTATTGTTGTTGTTGCATTTTTATTTATTATTGTTCTTCTTTTTACCACATTTTCATTACTACAAAAAAAATGAAAAAGAAAATTAAGTTCCCAATATCAAACCAAAAGAATGTAATGATTTTGTAAAACATTTTTAATATTATTATATTAAAAAAATATCACATATACTTACATAACAAAAAAAAACAAAAAAAAAATTAAGATGAGAGTTGACTGAAGGTGGACAATAATGACGAAATATTTCAAGCAACTTACCACAATATAAATTGATTTTCTAATTATAAATTCTTTTTAGGAATTGGTATGAGATCAATCGATCATCTTCGATTTTTTATCAACCGAGATCTAAAATATGGGAAAAAATTTAAATTTTTTTTTTCTTTCATTTTATTTATTGATTGTTATATTGAAGAACGAGCATATCAAAATATCCAAAATGTTTACCACATTCACATATGTATGTTTGTATATCTATATATACCTTCATATATAATACATATATTTTTATATGCATATGGATGTTGCATTATTATAATAAATTTTTTGTATATATACTCGTGAGTATAGTGGCAGCATCCTTATATAATATCCTAATGATATGGTCAATAGGGTAACGTGACTAAAATAATGATGAGATATTTTTTTTTTTTTGGAATTTGTTTCGGAATATTTTGAAGGCAAAATAGGTAACATATACGTACGTATTACAAAGTAGAATAAAGTGAAACAGGAACAAAAAGAAAAAAAAAAACTATAAATGGAACCATTAACTTTTAAAAGAAAGACGGCACCAATTGCATATCATAAGTATTATGCGATTAGCATAAAATATTTAAAGATTTTAAAATGTTGATAACGTAATAATGATAATATTATTTAAGTAACAACCGTACTCATATCTAAGTATCAACCGTAATCATATATATATATATATATATATAGATGATTACCTACTATAATATTATTTTATATAAAACAAGATCATATATACATACGTACATACATATGTATGTGTTACTGTATAAGAGAATTAAGTAGTTTCTTTCTTATTTATAATTTGATCAAAAATATTATCATAAGATATTAGAAAGTATAAATTGATTTTAATAAATTTTTATTGAAATTTGTATTTTGTTTGCAATTGACATTATTCGAGTCACACTATATGTGACAAATGAGTTTCAGATATACATATAGATTAATCATGAATTAAGGCTATAATCATATAAATTTTAATATTTGCATTAAATCGAATAAGTGAATGCTTCATAATTCTATAAGTAACTAGAAGTAGTTTGAGTTCCGTCAAAAAAAAGTCCGTCTTATATATAGTTGGTACGAAATAGAGAATTGTCTGACTATATATGTAATATCTTCTATCTATCTCTTTCACAATAATATTTGGAATATAGTGATGAAGCATTAAATCTTTGAAATTATTTTAATAGCTTGTAATTCCATTTAAGTTTGTCCTAGGTGTAATAAATTTGAATTTTAATCTAACAATGATTTTATATTTGAAATTCTTGCTAAAATTTTTTTTTTGTTTGTTTAACTATTATATATATATTAACGGTAAGTTAAATAATAACGGTGATTCCAGTGCACTTTAATTAGAACAAATGTGCCGTTTTGCTGCCATTTCATTGAGCACTTGATTAATTATAGATGGCCTGTTTAAGTCACCCAATTCTTTTGAGGTCTTTCAAATCTATTTAAAATCCCCGATACTAATGTTCGATATCTCATTCATTCCCGTTACACATTAAAACTGATCTCTTTTTTGTCTATTATGGCTGTGACATGTTGCAGTTTTGAAGGGCAAACCTAGTCATATGCTCCTCTAAAGTTCAAATATGTAGATTGCCATAAGGCTGGTGAAGTTCCTCCGAGATACTGCTAGGAAAATTTCTTACGTTAGGATTTTGGGCACATCTTTCTTGCCGTCCAGCATGTGGACAGGGCTTTTCATCTGCACGATAAATATTACCTACACACATATTCAAAATACAAAAATTTCCTTTAAAAATTCATAAATTAGTAAAAGTCTTTGAGGTTTGTAAAAAATTATCCAAGTAGAAGATTTGAATTATTTTGTAAATTGAGTTCATTTTTATTATTTTTTTTTCAGTGTTGCCGAGTAAGTAATATCAATACTAAGTAATAACAAAATTTTTTTCTCTCTCTCTCTCTTCCTTTTTCTCAAAAAGTTTAGTTAAATTGAATTTTAGCACGAAGTCATAATTTTGTCATAACTACCCTGCAAATACATATGTTATTCTTGTCAAAAAAAAGTGTCTAATATAGTGTAATAAAAACAAAAAACCGGTCAAATTTCGAAACCGATGACAAATCAATTGATCATCCTTAAGGGAATAGTACAGAGTACAGATGTATTACAGATAGATTTAATAATTTTCTCTACTTTTTTTTTTTATAAACAAATGGGTTTATTAATAATTATAGTATAACACAGCTTACTTTCCCAATACTAATCCAATAAAATTAATTTTAAATAATTTAAATAAAATATTAGGTCAGGTTGCACGGCCCCCCGAAGGGTACACCTAGGTCACTAAGGCCCGTTGTGAAGCCGCCGGATCCCCCCTCTCTCCCTCACTAGAATCAGCCCGAGTTCGTCAGAAACCGCCCAAAAAAGTGAGACCCAAGAAACCTCCGCCTGGAGTGAACAGTTTTCTTGCTTTTAAAAAGGTGTCACACTCCTTAATTATGAAAATATTTTTCAATCTCTGTCAATTTTGTAAATCAAATATTACTTTTAATAAATATTCGAAAATTGAAATTTATAATACCTGTATTTCAAATGACAAAAAAAAAAACAAGTGACTGTTATACACACAAGCATATACATAGATACATAATAATATGAGCATAAGTGTGTATGTGCACAATCCCCTTAGTTTTTTGTTTTTTTCATTTTTAACAGGCCTTATTAAATAATTTTGAAAATATTTTTGATTTTGGGTTATTCAAAAAATCTTACGCTCCAATTTCTATAATTTTGCAAAATATTAGGCATTTATTGTTGTTTTTCTTAAAATATTTGATTTTTTTCTTTCGTTTTATTTTTATTAATGTTTAAATAATGATTACATTTTTAGTATAATTTTCAATTTATAAAATATTGTACAAAAAAAAACAAAACAATTTTTTTTTCTAAGAATATTATTAGGTAGGAATGGTAGGAATATTTAAAATTGTTAACCGTAAAATTTAACTTAAGGCTATTTTATGTTTTGTATAAGAACAATATCAGAGTACATACACAATGTACATTGAATGTATATATGTATGTATATATATTTATTGTAAGCAAATGTAAATATTGTACATAAAAATCTAAAGAAAAATGCAAATTTATAAGCAAAAATTTTCAAAATACAATTTTTATCATGTTTTTGGACATTCTGTCATCTTGCACAAAAATACATACATACATACATAGGTACATACGTATGTATATACGTGGAAACATTATTGCTTCTATATGTTCTTATGCAATTGTAAACTATTATAAGAATTTTTAAACTTAGAAATTCTAAATTTATTAATTAATTCTTTTATTACCACCAAGGTTTTCTCTCACTATAATTTCAGAATGAAATTTAGGAACAAAAAAAAATTATAGGTTCGCAAACGCACATATTAGTAAAAATGCAAAAATGACATTTCGAGTAAACTGCGATTGAAATATCTAAA